TAAAAGGAATGAATTTCATCGACAACTTTAATCTTTTCTGGGGACATAAACAACTGTTTAAACCGGATGGCCTTCACCCAAACAAACTTGGTGCAAGAGTGCTTAAGGACAATATCTACTTCTCCCTCCATCATCCTTCAGCAGAGTGTGTCAATCCACTCAGCCTGAATAGCACACACACACCTGGTCCGAGTCGTCATGTGGTTGACACATCCCACAAGGACACTGATAACACCACGCAGCCACAACAAGCACTGCTCATGGACACCATCACGGCTGAGCCCTGCCCACAGAGCTCGTCACAGACAGACTGTGACTTATCAGAACAGCTCCAAGACTCAGCACCCAAGGACGACTTTCTGGAAAACAGCCAGGATTCGCTGCAAGCCCCCAGATATCAACTAAAAAATGGTGGGCCCCCCAACCACCAAAGCCTGTGGGCCCAGCTCTTCCTCCTCCTCCTGTGAGAGCTCTCCGGCCGCTGCCACAACGCCAGGGCCCAAACCCTCCATCTGCTGTAGGTGATCCAAAAACATCTGATAGCAGCTCTCAGTGATATGTGTCGGGTCCCCGCTTTGATAGCAGCAACATTCACAATTGTTTACAGAAAAAGCGAGAACCCAGTGTGCCTGTAGCTTTCTCTATTTCTGTTTTTTCACGTGATAGAAAGTCTAAGGCCTTCTCAAGCCGTACGGCTGACCTATCTAATCGTGAAAGTCAGCAAGAAGACTGGCAGACAAAAATCAGCTTGAAGAAAATCAACAGCAGTACAGAGTATGAAAAGACAATGCAGAAAAGCTGAGCGGATGTGGCGGAAGACGAAACTTGTAAGCCCCTTCTGAAAAAGAGCAATCTTGATAACAACATTTTGAGCAATTATAGACCCATATCAAATCGTCCTTTTATAGGCAAGATTATTGAAAAGGTAGTTCTTAATCAGCTGAACAAATACTTAAACTCAAATGGATACCTGTACAATTTTCAATCTGGGTTCCGACCACATCACAGCACAGAGACAGTGCTCATTAAGACGATAAATGATATTTGCTTACATTCTGATTCTGGCAAAATATCAGTGCTGGTACACATGATGAAAACTGTAATTAATAAAGTAATCTAGATTACTCATTTAGGTAATGTATTCTGACTACTTTTTAGATTACTTTTTATCTAACTTACTTTAAACTTACCATTAAACATACCATATTGATATAAAAAAGGAAAGAGCAAGAAAATATATTCCATTTTTTGATATCAACATCATAATACGCATTAAACATTACATTAAATCAGGCCTTACCAAACTGGTCTTAAAGTAAGAACTGTAGTGGGTTTGTGAGTTGATAAAATACTAATAATTAATTAAATCATAAAAATTTTAAATAAATTATTTAAGTTTGAACACTAAAAATATAAATATTTAATTTGTTTACCTGCATGTCAGTGTGACCATTAAGAGACATCTAACTGTAAACATGCAAATGTGTTGTTAAATTATTGAAATATTAACTATCATCTTTTTAGCTGTGCATGTATTGAATGAGCATTGTGCGATGTCCGAACTGATTGCACTGTATTTTATGTATGTATAATCATTTTCTATTTTTAACTGTCTTAAATTCATTTGAAATCAATTTCTAAATCATTTTCAAAGTTTTTAAATTCCTTGTTTCATTTTTGTGATTATTGTTTATGATTATTTTACTTTCTTTTATGTAAAACACTTTGAATTACCATTGTGTACGAAATGTGCTATAGAAATAAACTCGCCTTGCCTTGCCTAGGGGTCAGTTTCTCTCTCTGTGCTTTTGATCCAATAATCAAAACTTCAGCTTTATCTTGGTTGAGTTGTAAGAAGTTTTGTGACATTCAGTCATTTATGTCCTAAATGCAATTTTCAAGTTAATCAAGTTGAACAGGATCATCAGGAGCCATGGCTACAAACATCAATAATATTGCATTAATATTACATAATCTATTTATATTTAAACAGTTGAATTAAAAACCTGCATTTATTAGACTCAAATTTAATTAATTATATTAGAAAAACATTTCAACTACTTTTACTATTGTAAATGACGATATTTTGTTTAATTTATTTATTTATTCATTCATTCAATGTGTTGTTAAATTATTGAAATATTAACTTCCTCAGAGATATTTCATGTAAATATTTAATGTCAGAGGGGTCTGGCTGACATAAACGTTTGGGAATCCCTTTGTGGGAATCCTTTGCATGGATCACAAAATTACTTACATGATATTTACATGGCCATTTTTGTATTGTGAATATAAAAAGCTAAATGGTGTGACACAGGATTTTTAGACAGGAAAATTTAAAAGAGAAAAAAGAAGAATTAGTGAGAATCAATAAATTAAGAATGATTTACTGCCATTGTGTGAATAATATGTAATCCATAAAAAAGTAACTGTCTATAATTTTTTTTTATGATTATTTTACTTTCTTTTATGTAAAGCATTTTGAATTACCATTGTGTACGAAATGTGCTATATAAATAAACTTGCCTTGCCTTGCCTTCTAAAAAAATCTAATCAATTAAGACAAGATATATTTATATGTTTTAAATTAATATCGTTTTAATCTAAAATTAATATAAACTTTAATCATATAAAACATAATTTCCCAACAAACCAAAAAAAATTGTGGCCAGTGAAAATGCTGAGTGGCTAGTAACTTTGAAAAACCACTAGCCACAGTGGCTGGTGAGCAAAAAAGTTCCTGCTCTGATTATGAGCATTATAAAATGTAATGTACTCTAATTACGAGTACCTGATTTTGGGAAGCTGATTACGTTATCCAGATGGCATGTAATCAGTTACTACCCAGCTCTGTATATATATATATATATATATATATAGAATATGAAGTGTTTTTGAATTCATTGTTTTTATTGAGTTGCTTTATATTTATATAAATTTATTGCAAATTTAAGAGACATGTATGGTGCATTTTTAACAATGTACGAAATGTGCTATATAAATAAACTTGCCTTGCCTTGCCTTCTAAAAAAATCTAATCAATTAAGACAAGATATATTTATATGTTTTAAATTAATATCGTTTTAATCTAAAATTAATATAAACTTTAATCATATAAAACATAATTTCCCAACAAACCAAAAAAAATTGTGGCCAGTGAAAATGCTGAGTGGCTAGTAACTTTGAAAAACCACTAGCCACAGTGGCTGGTGAGCAAAAAAGTTCCTGCATAGAACACACAAATATTGGTAACATAATCAATTTGAACTACACATAGAAATTTTCTTTTAAATGTCTTTTTTACACTGTGAAATGGTAATATAGTTCATCATAGACACAGTGTTTGGTGCTCTTCCATATAAATGTCTTACTCATCTTGGGGAGAAGAGAAGAGGAGTGGTGCACTGGGACTTCCTCGGCACTAAGCTGTCTCACTCAAATCCCCATTTCCCTGCTATTGCTTTGTATGACTATTTACAACCAGGACAGCGTGGATTAGGAGTGATTCACAGCGCACATGTGAGAGAATCCACGCCTGTCCTCATTTACGCTAATACGTGCCGCTAGTGGCTATGGATCTTGGCAGTTTCACTATGATTGACACTGATTGTTATTGAGCTTGCCCTTTATTCTTATCAACGTGCATCTCCTGATCAATAGAGTTGAACACCACATGAATAAAGGCTGACAGTGGGGGAGGCAAACGCTCCTAACTTGTCACCAATATGTGATGAATGGGGGCCCGAGACAACACACATGTCAGATATAACACTCAATATCCTCCATATTAATAGCCTTGTGCTCCAGCGTTTTACAGATGCTGCTTGAGGTTAATACTTGTTTTTAGGCTGTCAAAAGACATGAAAAATTGCTGGGCTAGGAACAACAATGGTCAGTCTATGCGAAGTGTTTTTGAATTCATTGTTTTTATTGAGTTGCTTTATATTTATATAAATTTATTGCAAATTTAAGAGACATGTATGGTGCATTTTTAACAATCTAAAATTAAAAATATATAAAACAATATATATACACACTGATAAATATACAGTAAATCGTACAGTAAAATAATCAGAGTTTTCAGAATCAATTGTGATTCGATCCTATTCAGAATATTTTGTTTTTGTTTTAGCCAATATGCTAATATTACAATATCGAAATCAATTGCAAGACAATGCCATACTGAATATTTTGTTGTTTAGCAATATGCCAATGTTACACTACTGAAATTGTGAGAATGATTTGTGATAGTCCTGAACATGCTATAGTGTTTTCTAGTTAACAAAAAAGTAAAAAAAACTAATATTATGAAATGATAATAAAGTTTTGAATTCATTGTTTTCATTGAGGTGCTTTATATTTAATTTATAAATTTCAAACTATTATTACAAACCTAAAAGATAAATGTATGTAGCATTTTTCAACAATCTATAATTAAAAATATATTTTTCCTGACACATATAACCGTAAAATAAACAAAAACATTTTCTCTAAGTCCTTTAATCAGAGTAAAAAAAATAATGTCAAACTGGAAATCTGACAAATGGATAGAAATTTAATCATTTTGTTTAAAGTGTTTGCTTTCACAAGAAAATTGCCACAGCTCTGAATATGTTTCTCGAGGCTTAGAAAATAATGACTTGAGAAAACTGCAGGACCGTTCAAAGGAAATGTGACGAGCAAAATACTATGTGTGGGAGGAATGAAAGGAAAAGCATATGTGGGGGAGATAAATCCCGATACATGCGAATCTGAGCATTATGATTCTTGTCCTTCAGGGCCTTCCAGGTGCAGAGTGACGGCTCTTTTTAAAGCAATAAATGACAGATTTTTTACCCCGGAGTGGTCTGTCCTGTCAGCTCGTTTAATGCTGATACCAACTGGACATCTTGTAAAACAAAACTCTTCATAAATGCAACAAAATCCCTCATTCAGGAGACACGGCCCAACAAGAGACCTGTCTCTCTGGATGAATACACCTTCCACCATCCCATCCTTACCTGTGCAATACTGTCCTTCAGGCTAGGAGAGCGCTGTCTACGGGTGGTGGTAGTGGCCATGGTGGTGGTGGTCTCCATTATGGTGGTGGACATGTCCGCCGCAGCTGGAGGGGTGGCCGAGGTGGTCTCTGTGGACAGGACGGAGGGTGCGTCCCCAACCAAACGCAAGTTTCCTGTCACCTGCACGTTCGGATCCCCCTCGGCGGCCAGTTTTAGAACTTGCAGCCCGTTGTAGTACAGGCCTGAGATCTGGCCCTGGAACGGCCGCCCCTTATCCTGACCTCCCACCTTTATGGCCGCCTGGCTGTTGAAGATAGTCAACTGTCGACCTGTGATGGATCATAGAGGAGATGGAGAGAGGAGCAAGATATAGAGAAAGAGAAAGAGAAAGAGAAAGAGAAAGAGAGAGAGCAGTACGACAGCAAGGAGAGACAGAGAAGCAAAAAGTGACCATCAGTACAGGCTGTTTTTGGCGTCATCGGCAAGATGTTTCTAAATCAGCTGATAACACTTTTAACATTTGAACCTGCTGATGGTAATCTCCAATTCTAATGGCTGCCGTTGCTGACCCGGTTAGTGCAGGGGATAAAATGTTGTATTAAACATGATGCCAAAGATCAATCCTGAAACCTTAGGTGGCTCCTCTATGAGGGTCAGATCGAGGAGGAATGGAAGAGCCCCTATCATTATAGAATAATGGCTGTATGTTGTCATTTGAGCCTCATTAAACTAGTAGGGCTTGAGCTGTGGATAATGAACTGAATAAGGAGGACCAAATTGGAAAACAATATTTATGAGTATGTAAAGAGTTTTGGATATGTTTTATTCAGAGACAGAGGCCTCATTGATGCTAATCTACATGAATAAGTGTCATCTGCCAGCTCAAATGCTAATGTGTCACTGAGGCAAGAGGAGTTTCTCCTCCAGCCCCACGAATACACATACATAGGGGCGCGCACACACACACACACACACTATGCCTTTGCATTGAGGATTTCGTCCTCTGAATCTCCATTGAGTTGTCACAGAGTCGTTTCATTTAGAATATACCACAGGTTGAATTGATCACTGAGTTGATGATCATAAAAAAAACAAGAAATCTAAACCACTATTATGAAATCTTTAAAGCTGCGACAGGTAGTCACAGCGCTACATGTTTAATTCAAGTGGTTTTGAATTATAACAGTGAATGTTACGAAATCTGGCTAAAGTTTAGATATCATTTAATGCCAACAAAACCTTCAGAATTACTACTTAAAGAGGAAAAGGATGGTTAACTCAAAGTGCCATTTCCTTTGGCCCCTGAGAGCTGGACTGCTGCCATCCATTTAATCCTGATGAACAGGTACTCTGACACAGTTGATTATGAAGTGGGCAGTTGTTATCCCCTCTGTGAGTCACTTAATGCTTAATGAAGGGTTGCCATTTAACACAAGCAGGGTCTCAATTTTAACAGTTGAAAATAACCAAGTTTGACATGAGAGTGGAGATAAAAAGACCATAATCTTGGAAAGGCATGTCGTAATAGAGTGGGTAGAAGCCAGATGGCCACTTTCCAATTGCACATGTTCTTTTATCGTACAGTGGAAAGATTATTCTGATTAATGTGTGACATTAAGGATGGTTACATATGCTGACATAATACAGTATGTAAAGTACCACTGAGAAAATGGTATAAATGTATAGTCTCTCTTTATCACTTAAGTGAGAGTAGCACATGAAACTTAAAATGACAGTTCCATCATCATTTGCTCATGTTGTGTGTGTATATATATATATATATATATATATATATATATAAAAAGGAAGATATTTAAATATTTATATTTTGAGAACTGTTTTTGCCTATACATTGAAAGTAAATGGGGACCAAATGACACTGGACCATAATGACTTTTAAAAAAAAAAACCATTTTATTGATTTAGCAGTGTTGAAAGAAAAATGATATATGATATAAAATGATTTATTTTCTTTTTTATTCAGTCACTGGAATAAAGCAACCAGGACAGTATCTAAAATTTCTCCTGTTGTGTCCTGCGGGACATTTGTGACCCAGGACCACAAAACCAGTCATAAGGGTCAATTTTGTGAAATTGAGATTTATACATCATATTGATGTAGCTTTCCATTGATGTATTGTACAATATTTGGCTGAGATACAATTATTTGAAAATCTGAATCTGAGGGTGCAAAAAAAAAACAAATATTGAGAAAATCGCCTTTCAAAGTTGTCCAAATGAAGTTCTTAGCAATGCATATTACTAATCAAAAATTATGTTTTGATATATTTACGGTAGGAAATTTACAAAATATCCTTATGGAAATTGATCTTTAATTAATATCCTAATGATTTTTGGCATAAAAGAAAAAATGATAATTTTGACCCATACAATGTATTGCTGGTTATTGCTACAAATATACCCCAGCGACTTATGACAGGTTTTGTGGTACAGGGTCACATTTGTATAAATAACAACAGAATATTCATATTTAGGTGCATTACACCTGCTATTTAAAAATGTGCAATGAGATTTAATTTCCTCACATGTCTGGCATAAAAGCAAAAAGGTTTTTCTGTGATTAATTCAAGGTTGGACAGATCTTTTCTTTACGTCTAAATGTGAGACCCAGCAACAGTGGTTAGAACATTTGGTTAGGAGAATGAGGAGACCAAAGAGCCTTTGAGATAGAGAGCATGAGGCACAGACAAATTCACACAAAGACCAGTCACTCAGTAAAATGTACCATTCATACAGGACACAGACCTGATGTATGAGGGCTTTGTGTCATTATCATTACTTATAGATTAGAACTGATAAATAATTGCACATGTTAAAGGGACATTGTTAATCACATCTGAATGTGCAAAGGCTGACAGCAATTTTCCTCTCATTTGGTTACGAAAATGTCTTTCATTAATATTTAGACTGTTTAACCCTCTGAGTTAGTTTGATTTAGGGGGTTTAAGACGAAATTAGCTTTAGTTTAACGCCCTATTTATATCAAACCGTGGAAGTCAAATCAGAACATGAAGAAATGCTCATCGCAAATATATACATTTAAAATTATATATTGATAAAGGATGTTAGTTGGATGCACAAGGGAGAGCTAAACGTCTGAAAATGACTTTTAGACAAATGTAGACCTGAACTTTGGATCACGTTATACTCTGCATGTTATCGAGTTCAATCAACGAAGATATGCAGACTTAGAAAGGTCAGTTTTCAGTAAAAAAAGAGTGCAAGCGTATTTGTTTTACACTTAACATTTAGATGTGATGTTAGCTCAGCGAATGAACAGAAAAGGAAGTTTGCATATAGATGAAAAAGGTGCAACCAACCAAAAAGTCTGATAACTTACACATACAGTAGAGCATTAATGCCCAATATTCTTTGATAATGTGCTGATGCAGGTGTCTGAGATTATTTATGCACTTTAATAACATAGAAAGTTTCTTGGGGAAAGTCGAATACCATTTACAGATGTCTCACGGGTCCAAAGATTATGACACAGTTAAGTTTTAGACTATCATGCAAACGGTCCAAATAATATAATCTATAATTGTTTTTTATTCATTACACTCAAAGGGTTAAAGGGGATTTTGAAACTTTATTCTGATTTTAGTGTTAGAAGGAGACAAAAAGCAATAGTCCCTTTAACTGCATGGGATTGGAAAATATAAATCTATATTTTATAGTTAAAATGTTTTTAAATACCCTTGCTTCAAAATTAGCGAAGTCAGAGGGGATCACAGAAGGAAAACATAAGACAGCAAAAAAAGAAACTATTTACAGACAGTTGTTGCAGTTATGGAGCGTTGTTAAAGGGTTAGTCAGGGTTATGTTTAAGATTAAACCTTAATCTCTGAAGCGGTGCAGTTCTAACTTTGTGAAGGACATGATCTGGAAAGCACAAGCCACATGGAGAGGACCGATTGGATTTTCATTCTGAGTGGGCAGCCACAATTCACAGTTTGTTTTGGCCCACAATATGCCAATGCAAAGTCTTTGGTTTTAGGAGGTTTCATTCAAAATGGCTTGTAGCTTTGTGGTTTTAAGGGAACTGCGCCTCTTACAGAGCCTTAATGAGTCATTGTTTAATTAATCCATTTTTATTACCTTTGTCGAGTAGCCACTCGTCAACTACCCGACCAAGTCTGTATGGAATTCTTTGCCTGGCTATAGCAAGCCGTTCATTATCAATGTTCCCTTCAAAGAATTTAGAGAGACAGATAAGAGGTTAATATCTGGAAGTTCAAGCGTCACATGGTTAAAAACATGGCAACAAGACTATCAAGTTTAGCAAGTTAGGAAGTCTAAACGAGCTTTATGCTGGTAGTTATGTGGTTTTAAGATGGATTCTTAGTTATTAGACAGTTTAGAAGCTTGAGACTAATTAGAGCATGTTTAATTCTGTTTAGAAAGCTTTGAGGACATATTTAGTGATTGTTTATCTTCTAATTTTGGTCTGGTTGATTGTGATGTCATCTTAGCGAATAATACTTGAGGAAAATTTCATACAATCAATAGGACAACAATGATATCAGTGATAATGTCACATATTATAATGTGCAGTTATACGATGGTAGTGTCAAAGCTGCCCCGGAAGACATTTTCTGGTCTCTACAAGAAATCAGAGTGAGGACAATGCAATCAGTGCTGCATCTAGTATCAAAATCTCGAGGTACCTGCATAAATTAGGACACGTGTAATTATAAAAAGACACAAAAGATGTAATTGACTCTGTGTCATGGCTGCCAGATAAGAGACAGCGTGTATCTAGTCTACCGTTCCTGTTTTCTGACAGATCCCTTCACTAGAGCTAAAATGAGCTCTCGGGCCCAATAGAACTCCCTCAAAAGAACAATCTCCTCATCACTGTTTTCTCTTCTCTTCTCTCAACCACCGTCTTGTCAAAATCCACAAGTCATCCTAATACCCCTTTATACCACGGTTTGGTCAGTTTTGATTGCCACACAGTGATGTTTATTTCCTCTCAGACATCACGTATACAACTTCACACTGGCTGAGACATTGCCACAAAATTTCAGTAAGTCCTTCATTTAATCTAGTAAATGGGTCAACGACATGATAAAAATCTCATTTAAAACATGCCAACTTCTTTGTGTTTATGTTGTTTTCATACAGTATGGTTTTAAAAGACTTTAAAAAACCATTTTCAAGATTCTATACCATATTACACCAAGTCTAAATTTAATAACTCTAAACATGTAATGTGGTGTAATCGTCATGTAAAAAGCAATGACATACGTAATCATCACATAAAAAACAAGGACCTTTTCTTTACACCTTGAATACATGTACATATCTGAGTTATATTAAAAAATTATATATATATATATATATATATAATTATATATATATAAGCATAACTAATAAGCAGTGGAAATCACAACAAATAACAAATATTCTAAGAATAACAATAAATATAAATAATAATATATTACTATTTTTTCTTTTAGTAGTTGCATCAACCCCAAATTTTTTACTTTAACCCCAAAAAATATAAATATAAAAAATTTATTTTAATTCATAAATTAAAAATCACGCTAATCATAAAAGAGGTGTATTCAAGTCATCATATGTACAAATAGCCTTTTAAAAAACAAACTAAAAGATAACATACAAAAAAAGATGACTGTCATGCCACTGATCCACATACTGTAAAATTACAGAAATTATTTTTTGCAGTTAAAAGTATTCTTTCTTGAAGGAAAATCTTGGTATGCCAAGTGTCAACAGCATTTTTTTTTTGACATACCACATACTGTGTCATGTTCCTACTGTGACAGCCGTGTGAGATACAAGCCTTCCGTTCGTCCTACCCACCCTGCAACCTAAATGAGGGCCAAACCTCCCACTCCCATAAGCCTGTTAAAAGAGCTCATGTGTGGCAAATTCTGTGCTGAACCTTCAAAGAAAACTTGAAATAGGTCTCGTCTGTGATTATGCGACAAAAAGAGTGAAAACAAACCGATCCATCCAATAAAGTCTGCTCTGATGCATTGCTATTCATAGATTCCACTAGATTCTTATTTATGGGGCAATGTAATGGCGTGTTGAGCAAAATACCGAGGCGAGCGGTCAGTTGCAACCGCGTCCACAGGGAGCAGCAAATCTGCCATCGGGGAACATATCAGGTCATCTAATCCTCAGTTTTAATTAACTGAATTAACTGAAGCCATTAATCTAAGCGATACACAGTTGAGTTCGTTTACACACGTGAGCTCTGTGAGTATTGGATGACACGCAAGACCTATATCATAATTTTTTTAAATCCCCGGGATGACAGGTGCCACATAAAAGCCGTGCCATTCCATTTAAATGCGCATAACTCAGTTTTAAAGGAAGCATGTCACGAATTTGAAGCCGGGCTTTATCCCTGCGCTTTGGCAAGGCTGCCCCATCTGACTCTCGCCACCTGAGGGGGCTTAGGGGGAGACCCGGAGGATAGGAAGCCTATGTCGCAGCAGTAGAAAACCAATTCTCCCTTTCAGAAATCAGACAAAATCTTAAGCCTGAGCAGCAGGGACGCAGCGCCATTCAACCTCTGGAAATTTCGAGACAAGACCCCACACAAGGGGGTGGAAGGAGCATAGCAGGTGAGCTGAGGCGCCGCTTTATTTGGCTAGAGCTGTATTTTTGCTAAAGACTCCTTGACGTTGCACTAACCTGCCGTGAAGCAGCACATTTGAGAAACCGAATGAAAAATGAGGACGGGAAAGATAGGATTGCTATTAGAGACGGAGAAAATGTCTTCAGATGGAACAGCAGCTATGAGAGGAAGGCAGCTCCCTAAGCACACAGTGGGGAGAGAGAGAGTTTGCTCAAGTTTAATTGGAAAGCACACAAGGCCAAGGGACCGCAGAGCGAGATGTTTGTATAGGACGGGGACGGTTCATGGGACGACTACTGCAGGGTTGAGATCATCAATCAAGACTTGTTACAAAAGTTTAGGGCTGTGCAATATCAGTTTACGGCGCCGACTACACACCACAACTCGAGAGCACCAGGGTTCAGAGAGCAACCTGCAAGAAGCGTTTTGGCTAATGCTAAAAAAAGAAAGCGTGCTTTGTGGTTCAAAGTTTGCGTGCAGTTCAGGGATGGATGATCTTCACAGGCGCAGAGACACATTCCTCAGCCTGCCTAGAGCAAAGCTGGCTGAAGCTGAGAACTGTAAAGGATCCAAATCCATCTCAGGCTGAATGTATTAGGGAAGGCAGCTTGGGGGGAAATGTGTCAATTTGCAATTGTTATTAGATTGTGCATATGGTGGTTATCTGGGCGCTGCATGTGGTGACTCATAAACTCTCTGGGAAGAGTTTGAGGGTAAAAACAGCGCACTTCAAACCCAAATAATTCACATTTGAAATTATAAATCAGTTTGTACCCTTCAATAAGGCATGCAGTCAACATGGATTCAAATCCAGGCCGAGGGCTTCAAACAACGTCCCTCTGATGTGCGAGTAGAAATATACAGTGTCTCTCTCTGACCCCATGTGTCCATTCCCAAGGGAAGCTGCCCCTAGTATTTTTACCCCTCCCCTCCCCCCGCCACCCGCCACCACAAATGGCTTTCCCTGTCCTCTGCTGGGTCCTACCTGTTGGGAAGCGCTCGATGACGGGCTGGTTGTTCACTTGGAGGGTGGCGTTGCCACCACTACGCGTAAAGCGAACCACGTGGTACTTGCCGTCGTTCACGGTGACCGCAGGCTCATCTATGGTGATGTCATCTGTGCCCACATTGAAGATCACACTGACCTTCCCTTGTTCCTGTGTAAGAATGTTTAGAGGTGGACATTAGGGATGAGTCATGATGGTTATAGTCGATTAGTGAGGTCAAGTAGTGTCTAGATTGTAGGCACTTTTGGCCCTGTGGAGTTGTAATCCAAATAAATTCACTTAAAAGATGCTTTTTACACTTTCACTGGTGTATTTAATTTGTTCAATAACAATGTCCAACAGTGCAAACACATACATTGTAATTCTGACATTTTAATCAGTGACACTGTAGTGGGAATTTGAAAAGCTAAAAAATAACTAACATTAAATGAGCCAAATGCATTATTATGTTGCAATTATATTTTGAGATAATTAAAAAATTACAGCATTACTGGAAATGAAGCACTACAAAAACATTGTACACAAGAGATATTTTTCTTTTTTCTTTTTCTTCACACATCATGTCTCATATTATATTGATATAAATTGTACAAATGTTATTAAAATTATTTTTACACAATAAATATCTAAAATAATTAAAAGGCATATGTTTACAATTAATATTTTAATTATATAATTAAATTTTTAACATATTTATATATTATATAAATAATAAAATTTTTATGATGGATTTTCATTACAAAATGTTAAAAAAACTCTTCAAGACTGAAATAAATGAAATTCAAAGATTAAAAATTGATATAAAACAAAATAAAAAATCTATAAACTTCAGTAAAAAAATTCTATGAAAAAAATTCTATACATACATTTTTTTAAAAATAGTAGTAAAACCAAATGAATGAAAAAGAATAATGAATTATATAAAAAATAAATAATGAAAAGTAAAAGGTTTTTAAGACAAAAAAAAACTTGACATAAAAGTGTCCTAAGTTGATTAAACCTGTCTACACATGTATTTTTTTACATTTTAGACTTTTTAATTAGTGTGCTGACAGCTGCACAGTTTGTAAACGCCCCCTACAAAACGTGTCTGATTGGGTTCAGGTGAACCCGAAACAACAAAGCCCTGTAATTACACAGGGCTTTCTTTAAGACCAATTAGTTGTCTAGCTGTTCAGACAACCCACCTCCAAGTCAACTTTTGCACATGGATATAACCAATATAGATACAACATGCACCTCCACATGACCTACACATCCAGAAAAATCTCTGGATCATGAAGCAATTTAAAACAGCGAAATTTAAAGGTATTGCATGTGACAATAAAATGAAATGAATGATGGCGAGAGCAATGGGGAATATCGTGTGAGCAAAAAGAAACATCTGGACATGCTACAGTGGCTCACCCTTGGGAGAGGAGCTCAACGGTGTCTTTTGTGCAGGAGGGGAAATGGAGTGTGGCTCCATGTTTTGTATTCATCACCGCTCCTTCTCACAAAGGCACACACACATTGGCTCGCCAGCTACTGACATCCTGACATGTATAACTACTGACAGTTTCCTGCTGTTTTTATTTTAACCGTGATTCATTTCCCCCCCAAGAACACTTCCACCTGCTACTAGCCACCTCTGGGGGGCGCACTTGAGCATTTAACAGTTGACACCTCAGAAACGCTACCTCGTTCTTTTTGGAAACATCACATTGCTAGCATGAAATGTGTTGCCATTCTACAGCTTTACCATCGTCCTGTATCAGTCTCTAGAAAGAGCCAAAACAACAATAATAAAAAGTGTTTCGTGTTCTCTGACACAAAGCCACAGATTGATAAAACTTCCACACACGCTTAGAGTTTGGATATCTTCCTTCCTTCCTCTAACCTCAACTGACAGGTTCTCATTGAGATGCTGATGTCTGACAAATATCAAACAGAGCATGAGGTGAATGCAGAGTGTGTTCTGGAATCTAAAGGGCGGAGATAAAAAACTAGCGAGTGTGTGCTAATGCTAGTCTGATATCAATGTCTCCTCACCATACAAATAAGGGCAAATCTACTGAATGAATACACAAGAGGATTTCATCCAAATGTTAAACTATACAAAAGCAAAAAATAACAACAAAAACCAGAACTAGAAGAAAGAAAAGCGAACATAAAAGGTTGTGTTTTCATAGAAAAAAAATATTTTTTTCATATGCTAGCTCAGCCTGGTTTGACAGTAGACAAGTGAAACTTGGTCTTTCTTGAGATGCTGATTGAGTCTTACTTGTTAAACTAGTTAAAATTCACACCAGTATCCAATACAGCTGCGGGAACTTTAACAGCAATGATGAATAACTGAAATTCCTCCAAAAAAGAAATAATTTAATTTAAATGTCACTTCAGTTCAAACACACAGATTCACTGTACCATCACAATCCATTTTGTTTAAGTAAATCCAGGTAGAAGAATGACAGGAATGAGGAAGGTTTTTGCTCGGATGGAACCATGTTATGAAACACTTCATCAGTCTCCTCGCTCTCCATTTCACTCTATTTTTCATTTGGTTCGAGATACTCCTATCTAGTATGAACGATACTGGGAACAGAATGATTCACAGGGTATGGAAAACAGCAGAATGTGGATAAAAATATGGTTGACTCGATCACAAGGACATGACTTTCTCTGACTGAAGTAGCCAATTGATAGGAAATGATGCATTTTACTGTTGCATGGATAGACTGAACCTCTTTGCAAAACTATAAGCATAATGACTGAGACAAAAGAGAAAAAGTCCAGTTACACAAATCATACTCACAAATTATACATGAATCGATCACCATTTCAAGTAGTCAACTGCATCTGCATAAATCTTTTTGCAAATTGGGGTCTAAAACAATGAAAGCAGTGCATGAAGATAAACAAAGCAATTCATCCTCAGTGCATTCCCCCTCATTGTTATATTGTTCTGAAATGGCTTTGTCTTATTGAAGTTCACATACTCAGAAAATTCAATAGACATTCTCATCTTCAGTCGTTGGGACATTACCGACAAGTAATGTTCGCACTTTTGCCTCATCTTAATGCTGCTTCTCTTTTCCATTCTGCTGATCCTGCACATTTCACTCCTTGTGAAGTATTTATTCAAAGAACATCTCTTTTCACACGAAAAAACTGGCGAGTTACACTTCAGCAGGTGTTGAAGTGTCCTCTAAAGAACTTTAGCCCAAAAGTCTTTGTCCTCAGCAGAAATTAGAGACAGAAAGCATAAGTGTTGTTTGTTAAACTCGGCTGTAAAATGTAGCTCGAGGACTCTCTTGGACAATGAAACGCAGAGATATTGAAGGACAGAGTCAAGAGTTGAATAATGGATCCTTTATTCCGAACTGCTCAATCTGTGGTAAGGGGTAAGGGGCCCATCGGTCCCCTAAGTGCACAATGACCTCCCGATCTCATGACCATAACAGACGGCCAGCAACATCATTCATGACTAGAAAGAGAAATGACAGTGATTTATGTTGTAGAGCCTCAGTGTTGGGTGCAATACTGATGATGCATATGAGTGAAGGGCATTGTGGGTGACTAATCTCTCTAGAGCGCAGTGCTACTGAGGCAGGACAGAATCACCTATCAACAGGCTGTCCCTGCTGGCTAAAGTGCAAAACACCTGGCTTTAATGCCCAGATGTCAAACATCTGGAAAAACAAAATAAAACAAAACTGACTGAGCAAATTTTGTAAAGGGCAGAAGATAATGCGAATAAAATGCCCAGATAAACAAGGGCAATGAAAGATACATGCTCAAGGGTGAATTTACTGAACAGTTGTGCCACAGAAACATGCATCTCAATCACAAAGCACGTGCAATCCAGTTTAATCAGATGCACACTGGTTTAGCAGTAGTGGAACATTGATGTTGCGTCCTACACAACCTAACACTCAGAACCGACCTGTGTGATAAAATATGCAAATTTTTTAGTAAATTATTCCCTCAGAATCAAAATAAGGGGGTGAATTAATGTGGGAGTTTTAAAACTGTTTTACACTACTTTTCTGAAAACTTTTCTGCAGACCCAATACCACTCCCTTTGCTGCCCCCAGAGGTTGTCTGGAAATGATAAAAAAATAATAATAATAAAAAATATATATATACACACATACTACCGTTTAAAAGTTTGGGTCAGTAGGATTTTGCTTTTGAAAGAAATTGAATACTTTTATCATTTATTCAAAAGGGATGCATTCAATTGATCAAAAGTGACAGCAAAGACATCTACAATGTTTTTAAAGATTTCTATTTCAAATAAATGCTGTTCATTTCATAAAATAATAAAAAAAAAACATTGGTTGGTATGGTTTCCATAAAAAATTAAACATTATAATTTTTAATAATGTTTCTTCAGCACCAAGTCAGCATATTAAGGTGCAGTCACATTCCCAAAATTTTGCGGCCAAAATTCGGTCCGTTGTCAATAGTGTAGTGATCTATGAAGCACTGCTCACACAGAAGTTACTTTCAAACCAAGCAGCTTTCTATCGATCAGTGAGGCAAATTCGTGTGACCAGATTGAACATGAGCAAAATCTGCACAGTGAAATTTTTCACCGTCGCGCGAAACTCCCAATTCCATGGATTCCTATTGAAATGAATGTAATTCTCTTGAAA